CGGTAGGAAACGGCTCCTCTCCGCCTCCGCAGGGCTCCCGGGGGCGACGCGGCAGCAGGCAGCAGCCAACGGCTCCCACACCTCCTGTGCCGGCGGGCGAGCTGGCACGGCACGGCGCAGCATGGGATGTACCCCTGCCATCGGATGGGTGACCAGGACCAGAGGCTGCTGGAGCCCACATGGAGGGAGATGGGCTGGGATGGTCATCTGCAAGCCACCACGATGGGGACAAATCCTGCACCCTAAATGGGGGTGGTACCTCTCCAGGAGGGCCCTGACTATGCTGTGGGGACCTGTGGGGTGACCCACAGCAAGAGGGCTGCAGGGTGGATCCCCATCCCCCTGTGGGCTAGGGATCACCCCTCTGCCCCGGTGGAGCCATCATGGTTGGGGCTGGCCAAAACCCGGGGGACAAGGTGTGCTGCGTTTGCCAGCCGGTGCTATAGTTGTCCCTGGGCCACCTAGGCCAGCTGCCTGCACAGCTCCTCCTTCCCTGGCCAGGCTGGCTCCCCATCCCAAGCCCTGCTCCCCACCATAGCCTGTGGCCTTTCCAGGGGGCGAGGTGAGCCCTGCCCTGCCATGAACACGACGGGGATCTCTCCCATTGCCACTCAGACGGGTGTGCCGTGCCAGGCCACAGGCTGGCATCAGGCCTCAGGTGGTTGCCACATCCCTGGTGCAGTAGGAGGATGTGCCAGGCAGGGGACAGATCCCATGGGGTGCCGAGCGTGCTGGCATGAGGACTGAGGCTGGTGGTGAGCAAATGTGCCCAAGACAGCTCCATCCTCATAGTGGAGTGTGGTGGAGAAGTCCCAGGGGAACATAGCTCAGGGCTCACACCCATCTATGGATACACCCCCACCCCGACCCTGCATCCATCCCCCCATCATAGCATGCTGCCGTGAGACCCCCGCAGCAGGGACCTGCGTGGCCCCAGCGCATTCCTGCTGGGATTAGGTACCGGTTCCCGGCAGCACTATGCTGGTGTAGCCCAGCTAATCCCTTTTTAATTGTCCTCACCCTGTGCCGGGCTGAGCTGAGCTGCCCAGGGGACGTGGGGTGCTGGGTGAACCCCAGTGCCTGAGCCTGCCTGGGGGGTGCCATCATCAGGTGTCCCTGGTGTGGGACTGAGCTGTGGGGTGCATGGTGAACCTTTGGGATGGTGATCAAGAAGGAGGCATCCATCCTCCTGGTGAAGGGAAGGATCCTGAGCTCCTAGGGTCCCATCCTGCTGCCCCGGGGTGACTGTCTGCCCTCAGCTTCATGGCCACCAGCCGCCAGGCTCTGGGGCAGGCAGAGGAGCTGTGCCCTCTGCACTGAAAACCCCTGAGCTTGAAGGTCCTCAAAACCATCCCAGTGGGGCAGAAGCCTTGGCAGAGCCACAGCGTGGGGACATAGCATGCAGGCTCTCTACCATCAGCCCGACCCTCTCTCCCCATCCTGGAGGGAGGGCAGGAGAGATGCTGGCTGAGCCCCTCTGCCTGCTGCTCTGCCCCAGCCCCTCCAGCCCTGCCCAGCGTCACACCAACCAGTGGCATCCATCTCCTTTGGGCTTTAAAAATAGGCTGGTGTCCCTGCCAAGGGCTTGGTAATTTTAGCCGGGGCGTGTCTCGCCGGAAAGCACGTGGGACCGTTCATCTGGCCCGGCTGCCTCCACACCCGGGGCTGATGTCAGCCCCTCGCTGCCCACTTGCTCGCCCCTGCCCCAGGGCAGCTCCCAGCAGCACGGCCTAGCCATAGACACCTTGGGCACGGGTGATGCCTGGTGGGACAGTGAGGGCAATGGAGCGGGGACAGGGTGCCCAGGTGCTCCCTGAGCCTGCTCACTCCCCATCCGAAGCATCTTGCCCGCAAAGCTGGTGGCACCAGCGAGCGCAGCATCCCACTGCCACAGCACCCAGGAGCACCCAGCCAAGCAGTGGCAGAGGGGTCCCAGCACCCTGCCCTACCCACCCTCCTCCTCTCACCCGGGCCCCCCAACACAACAGCCACTTCATATTGCCTCCCACGGTGCTCCCGCAGAGCCACGGCGGCTGGGAAGGCTGGGGGGGCCGCCACCAAACATAATGCGGCTATTGAGAGGCGAGCCGGCGGCCCCGGCGAGGCACAATAGGGCCTTGTCTGCTGGCCCAGCTCCCACTCCTGCCCAGCCCCGTGCCCAACGTTGGGCTTTCCTCTTCCCCGAACAGCTCGGAGCTCACCCAGGTGGCAGCCAGGGCAAGCCCTGCCTGGGGCAAAGCTGGCAAGCACACTGCAGGAGCCTGGGGTGGGAGGGCACCAGGTGAACCCCCCTTTCCCATAAACCAGTGCCCAGGGAAGAGGCATTGCTTGGGAAACCCCCCAGTGTGGTGGTGCTCAACCTGTCCATGCCAGCTGGAAAGGGCTTGGGGGTCCCTGCTCAGATGTGGGGTGACGGGGACAAGGAGGTGCCCAGTGATGCCTCTGCTTCCCTCTTGGGAGTGTGTCCAAGCCCGCTGGCACCCAGCACCCACCAACGGGAGACAGGGACCTGGCATCCCCCCTGGGGAGCTCTACCACCCTGGCCTCCCGACACCACAGCCCCCCGCGGTGGGGCAATCAGTGCCCCATGGCCGCCATCTCACCTGTTACGGTGCGTGGTCTCTGCTGGAGCTCGCCTGCCTCCTTGCCTGGTGGGTGAGCTGGGGCTGCGGCTGCTGCCTGCTCTTTAAACCCCAAATCCCTGGTGCCGGCCGCCAGTCCCGCCAGCGGCGGGGGCGGAGGGAGGGGACGCACAGCCCCGGTCCCTGCTCCCGGGGCTGGCACCAACAAAAGGCAACTGTGTCCCGTGTCCTCCCTGTGCACCCAACGACCTGGCTGGCTGCTCAGGGACAGCCCCTCGGGACTCCAGGGCTCCCGGGGTGCTGCCACCCCCTCTGTCCGCACTGGGAAGGTGGGAGAAGCACGAGCGAGCCCTGGGTCCCTGATCACAGCCGTGGAGCATCCCGACGTCCCCAAGGACCCGTCCCTGCCAGCTCGGTCCTGTCCCTGCCTGCAGGGGTGCCAGGGCTAAGGTGCTCATTGCCGTCCCCCCGCCTCATCTGCTCCTGCAAAGCCTGGCCCAGGGGGCTGGAGGAGAAGGAAGGGGACGTGGCTGCCGCCGCGGTGCCCGTGCCCTGGGGGACTCACCCCGCGGACCCCCGCAGCCCTGCCCCGCCGGTGCTGTGGGGCCAAGTGGCTGCCTGTGAAGCATCCCTGTGGTCCGAAGGCCGGGCGCAGCCCGTGCCGCCTCATTAACACGGGGTAAATGTGTAACGAGCTGTCGGCCGGGCCAGGGCGGTTCAAGCTGCATGGTTCCTCTCACCCACCAGGCACACTGGGAGCCGGGGATGTGGTGGCTTTATCCCGGCAGGAGCCATGAAGCTGGGGCAGGAAGGAGAAAAAAAGTCTGGTTTATGCCCAGACACGCTGGGGTGACTTCAGCTGGAAGGAGCGGAGTGGGCAGTGCGCTGGGCTGGGACAGGAATAAGCCCGTCCCCGACGGGGGAGGCTGACCCGCCACCCAGGCTTGCCCCAGCTGCCAGGCTCAGGCTCGGGCTCAGCTCAGCTGCCTGCCGGCAGGATGAGGAGCTGAGCTTTGCTCTGCAGTGCCCACTGGCACAGCAGGCAACGGGCACCAATTTAATAAAAAACCAAACAAGAAATTCCATCTGAAGGCAAGAAAATGTTTCTTTCTGCTGAGGTAGTGGACAGGTGCTGGCACAGCTGGGCCAGAGGCTGTGGAGCCTCCAGCCGTGGCGACAGGCAAACCCAGCCGGGCCCGGGCAGCCTGTGCCAGCTGAGCCGCTCCCGCGCGCGGTGGGGGCCGGGGGCTCTGCCGGCACCCTGCCCGGGACCTGCGCCCTGTGCGGAAAGGCAGGGCTGGGGACCAGGGCCCGGGGTGTCAGTGCCAGCGCTGAGCCAGGCCCCGGTTCCTGCTGCTGCAGGACACGGCGTCCAGGAGCTGTC